CATCGGGTGGTAGCCAGGTCGGCATCACGATGTTGCCACAATCTGGTTTAGATTCGAGGCTGTGGTTGCTCCCTCCATACCGAGGTCAACTACCACCAAGCTTTCGATTAGAACCATGATTATTACCTCTATACCGAGGTGCAATTCTGGCTCACACTTTCCCTGATTTGGGACCATAGCATTTCCCTCTGTACTGAGGGCCACTACGTCAAATTCAGAGCCATGCTTGTCCCTCTTTTTGAGGCCCATTGTAGTTCCTGCAATTCATCCCTTGGGATGCTGCCAGTAATCACGCATCCAGCCCCGAACTATGGTCACCCTGGCATACACTCAGTCGGATTTGAGACTGTAATTATTGCCTCTATACTGAAGCCTACAATTGCATGTCTCATTCTGCCTCCCATTCATTTGAATTCGAGCCAGGTTTAAGGTTCCTCACTCGATATCAAGGGATGGCAGAGTCAGCCAGATATGCAGCATCAAATTTGCCTCCATGTCAACACCTGATATCATGGCTATCCTTATATAGCTGATTTGGAAGGTGTGGTGCTTCCTCCATGCTGAAGGAAGGTACCACCATTCATTCCCATGTTGCATTCTATGAGGACGTGCTTTTGTCTCTGTTCACCAAAGCACTCTCAATATGAACAGTCCTCCACTCATCACAGGACTGGAGGATCAAGTTTAACAATTGGTTTGCTCCCTCTATACCTAGAGACACTACCATTATGTGCTTGGTACCAGCACGATTGGAATTGTCTTGTTCCCCCCAGGGGGGCTTTGGTACCATCACTCATCCTCTAATGCCAAGCTATATATTCTTGTATCACTCACTTGATACAGACATATTCTGGGATGTGCTTGGTCTCCCTGTACTGGGACCAATACCATTACTACCCCCCTTTTTTCAAACTGGTATTAATGCCTTCGTTCCTCCCTATTGGTGGCTTTCAGAATGTACTTGTTGCCTCCGTGTCAGAAGACTGTTTTCACTTCCCCCGCGCAAGTGTCAGTGAATGCAGTTGGTGTCTTCTTTCCAAGGGCACTGCATATAACGAGGAATACAAGTCTACACCCCATATGCAAACCCCTTCCAAGGGGTTCTTGTCGGTGCCACTCACATCTATGAAACATGTGACAAACTATGTTTGGTCTCTACCTGGGATGAGCTCATCTCATATACTGACCACTGATTTCAGTGCAATCTTCTTGGGCCTCATTCAGATGGGAATTGTTTCAGTTCTTTCCCATTTGCAGCCCTGGGCAGGAACACCCTCTGGGGACATCCCTCCAATTCAATCCTC